CGCCTTAGTTCTAAGGCAAACTCCCCTTTCTCTATATTCGTACAGGGTACATAAAAGAAAAAGAGGTGCAGCACAAAAGGCAATAAATTCAATTTCGAAATTTAAATTTGAAATTTTTTTTCGTTTGCTGCCTTCTTTTTTTTTTTGCTGCCGTTGCTGCGTTGCAGTTGCTGCTCAAATAATTGTAAAAATGTGCGCGCAAGCAGGAGGAGCAGAGACTGCGTGGAGAGTGGGAGCCAGCAGAGCGGCAACAAATGGTCTTTCCAGGCAATTGCATTTATGGCCAAAAGGCGATAAATGGCCACGGCATTTGGAGCGCAAAGTAACAAACGGATGCTGGCAAAAAGCGCTGAATGCAGCAGGCAGGCAGCAGGACACTGGACGCAGCCAGCAGACAGCAGACAGCGGACAGCAGGCAGCAGGACGTCCGAGCCCATTGAATGCCCGGCCACAGCGCCCAATATCGAGTCCACCGCAACTTCTGGATCTGACCGACAACGCTGGACAGTTGTCAGCGCTAAGAAATTTGAATATGAAATGCTGTCTAGCCCCGAGGGGCCACTTACATAATCCGCCTCCTTGATCAACTGTAATTGCTGTGTCACCAGGATGATGGTGCGATTCGACTTCAAAAGCATCTGACGCACACACTGCTCGAAGACATGGCTGCCCACTTCATTGTCCAGCGATGACAGCGGATCATCCTACAAAATGCAATTACACTTCAGTATTATTAGACGCTTACTGCGCATAAACTCATAAAGGAAATGACAAACAAAAATTTAATTCTTATTTAATAGATATTGATATAGCTATACAGTTGTATAGAATAGATATATAGCTCAGCCAAGCCATCATAAAGTCCACTAAAGTCTCAGATAGTCGTGGCTTTAAAAAACTATTTTTATAGGAATATATATATATTAAAAGTGCTTTTAATATTAAATATTTTTGATCCCACATTTTTAACTAAAAAAAAAAGCACACAGTAATACTAGTCTATCAACAATTCATAAAAAAAATATCAAAACAATTTAAAAATAATATATATAAACTAAAAACTAAAGACATAATAAAAAAAATGTAAAATGAAATATGTATATTAAAAATAATAATAAAATAAATACAATCTGTTGAAAAAAAAAAATGTTTTTTTTCATTTAACTTTTTGCAGAAAAGCAGCTTTACTTTAAGCAATTATTTTCAGCTATTATTTCCTATATTTAAAGTGTATTGTATTATTTTATTGTTTGTATATTTTTTCTTTATTTTTTTAGTTAATCGATTTAATTGAATTTATTATTTTTATAGATTTTATTTTTATTTTCTTTGCACCTTGTTTTTTTGTAATAATTATTCCAAATTAAAATTATTATTATTTTATTTCCCACTCTACAAATATTTTCCCAAATATTAAATGCTCAACCTTTTCGAATATACAAACTATGTTTCTGCTCTAATCATATAGATTTTTTTACTGCTCTGTAAAAGCAAATCATAAAAGAAAAGACTCGAATATTGCATTCCCAACCTTAATAAATGAAAAGTTAATGACATTAATTTTTATTGATATTTCTAAGTTTCCCCACTTTCACTTCGATAAGCGCATCTCCAAAAAAAAAAAGGTCACGTATGTATATGGGCAATTCTCGTAAAACTTGTTTACCCTGCAACAGTGTTGGGAGATTTTCGTTTTATGTTTAATTTAAAGTTGAGACGTTTCGTGGAATTTATGAGCGCAAATGCATTGGCATAAAGTGCACTGAGGCATCGGATTGGCTTGCAGTTAAGACGACGCGACGTGCCAGGTCCTTGCTCGTGCTCTCGCTGTTCGACTTGGTGTCGTTGGCATTTAGTTACTCACCATTATGACGACGTTGGCCGATGAATAAATTGCACGTGCGATAGCGACGCGTTGCCTCTGTCCGCCGGATAGATTTATGCCCCGTTCGCCGATTATCGTAAAATCACCGGTTGGCATTAGTTCAATATCCGGTTTTAGTGCGCACGCATCCAGCACAAAATCGTAACGCTTCGGCCGAAATGATTCACCAAATAGGATATTCTCCCGTATTGTATCATTAAGCAGCCATGGAACTTGCGGCACATACGATATCGTACAGTTTCTGAGAAATATAATAAAACATACAATCGATTACACAAATTGCGTCTATAGAACAGTTAGGCATTTTACCAAGCATTAACTAAACTAGTTATAGTTCATTTTATGATGCTAATGAATCTCTTATTTTCTATAGATTCTCTTTAATTCATTTCAAAAAATATGTGGTAGACAAATTTCTTTAATTTTATGCAATTATAGGTTCATATAGAAATTGTTTACATGGTAATGGAATTTTCACAAAAACATCATTAATATAAGTTTTTTTCAATTAATTTTATAATACATATATTTTTATAAGCAGCAATCTATTTATCTCTAAGTTCTTGTTAACATACCTGTATGGTTTATTTAATCAAATTCTCAATCCAAATTTATTTCGCTTACGTTATAAGTTTACACATGTATGTATGTACATCTGTACCCTTACGTTACGCTAATCACATTTCCACTCAAAACTTTGCCTATTATCCGCATACGCTGTAAGCCTACATACAAAATGTTTATAGGTGTGAGCGAGAGAAAACATTAACCTATCAGAATTTAAGCATTAAACAATATGCAAACGTATGTACGTTATGTTTGGCTATACATACATATGTAAGTATGTGTGCGTATACAATTAAATTCAAACGAAAACTGTTTTAAAATAGGTACTAGATCATCTGCCTCATGCCTCATGACTTCCCCGCTCGGATGCTCGATTAAGACTAATGATTTATGCACGAACGAAGTTGACATAGAGAAGAGCTCGATTGCGAGCGGAGAAAACCGTTTTCTTAGAAAGGAGGCTAACTCAGCTTTCATTTATGCTCACAGTAGAACGATCCGACTGCATATGTGCGAGCGAGACAAGCAGTGCGCTCGCTATAAAAGCTCACTCAACTGAGAAGACCTATGTATGTGTAGGTAAATGAGTGTAAGGTATTAATGTACATGCGAGTGAGCAAAATGCATGCAAATAAGTTACGGCATGTGATTTAAATAAGTGCAAGCGAGATAAGTAGCACAATTTGTAATAATGCTCAAATCGGAAGAATAAGACTAAAGCAGAAATCGGAATAGGAATTCTTTACTTTGCTACTCACTTCAGCCAAACTTTTATTCGCTATGCAATTGTGGAATAGAGCGAGATAGAGAGAGGGAACACATAAACACGACTTAAAGTGTTTTTAGAATATGACTCTTATTGGAAACGCAGGCTAGATGACAGTCATGAAGTTAATACGAAATATACATACATACATACATACATAAAGCATGTAGTAGTAGAGTAGAGTTGATTTACATACAAACATTAACATAAAATTCACTCTTCACCAAGCTTAGCTGCTAGACTGCATTTTATCTAAGCCACTATTAAGCTTGAAACTTTCATCGTTAATCAAAAGTGGCACACACACATACATAAGCGCCCAAGTATAGACGTGTCTATACGTGTGTGTACATGTGTAAGCTTTCGCTTTTACATGACATCGCTAATTATGGTAAATGCGAGTGACTTCAATTAATTAGCTGCAATTTAGTTAAGCGGTTTATGTGATAACTTTCGTCGCATCCTTCGTCAAGCGCATAAACCGCAGCCTACATGCAGCTACACATGTACACACACACACACACACGCCCACAGACTCTCTCACACACACTCACGCAGAATTGTGGCGTAATTAAGTGACTCTCAGTGCAATGCAGATAAGGTGATTGTTTCTTACTGGCGACCGCAAACTCGTGTAGCCACAAACACGTGACCAGCACTGTGATCTGTCACATTCAGCTGCAAGTGCTGAAAACGCAAATTTGGTGCTGCTTGCATAATAATAATGACAATAATAATAATAATGGAAGTAATGAGACACGCTTCATAATGCCATCTATGTATATACATATGTATGTACATATGTAGTCCTTGGTGTCTAGAAGCAATTCAATTTGCATATGTATGTATGTTGCTTCAATTATAGCTCGGATTTATTTGATTTGCATGCCAGCCGAGAATGTAAGCCGATATTTGCTGATTGACTTTTAGCAGACAGATTAAGATTGATTTATTGATTGCTATTTAACTTCAATGAGTAGCAATAGAAATAAAAGTTAATAGCTAAACAGAAAATAAATATAAACAATTTGAGAGAGCCTAAAGCACTTAAATGCAATAAATTAATGAAAAAAAAGCAGTAGTAAAAAAATTCTAAATAAAGATTGTATCATAAATAAATAGGTTTATTCCAAAAAGCCAATTTTAAAATTTTATCTTGAGCAAATTCGTCTAATTTATATTTGTTGGAAAATATTGTGGCAAGTTTTCATGGCTCAACACGTAACTCACATTAGATATGCGCCCTGTTGACCCGTTTAAGTCAACCGCACACACACACACACACACATATGTAAAGCGAGACACACACACACACAGATGCGTTTGGCCATTAAATCACACTTTGCACCTCATATCAAGCAACGCTGACTTTGGACGCAGTCCGATTAGACGTCGCCGCTTGGCTTTGCCTTTGCCTTCCTGACTGTGTGAGTGAGAGTATGTGTGTGTGTGTGTGTGTGAAAATCAGAAAACCGCTCGCACTTAACAATCGTTAAGTTCACGTGGCCCCTGCAATCCATAGTACTGCTGGCTACATGTGCAGTGGCACAATAAATTCTCAAGTCAAAAACGAACAAGAAAGACCAAACATAGAGGGAGAGCAAAAGAGCGAGAGTGAGCGACTGGTTGCTGTGAGAGGAGGGCGAGCAGAGAGTGAGCGGCGTGTGAGAGAGAGAGACACACACTTCCGAACAACACAGACATTTATTACAGTAATTGAAATTATTGCACATTTTGCGTTTGCCAAGGCGGAACGAAACAGAGGCAAGGCGGAATGGCGAAAGGCGAAGAGGCGAGAGGAAGGCAAAGGCAAAGCGAGGCAAGGCGAGGCAGCCAAACACAGGCAAAGTCGAAGGCTCGCCCTCTTTGCTGCCTGCTGTGCGATTTTAGCTTGTTAAATGCATTTTTATATGGCCGCCACGCCTTCAGCTGCCAGTGGGGGCGACGATGTGGGGGCGTGTGCTGCACTGCTCTTCGTTTATTTTATGTGCAATAAAATTAACATATACAGACATTTTGTGATAAATTACCGCATCACGTGATGTGCCTGGGAACGACTGTAAAAATATGTTGAATGACTGCGGCTGCCGCTGCTGCTGCTGCAACTGGCAACTGGCAACTGGCAACTGGCAACTGCAACTGTTAACGCAACTGCAACTGCAACTGCAACGACAACGCTTTCATTTAATTTCAGGCATTAAGAGAGAAATTCAGATTACAGCAAAAGTTCTCAACTGCCATTTAAGTGCCACAAGATGCATGCCACACCGCTGACTGACTGAAAGACTGACTGTTGTTGACTGCGACCTCTGCCTCTGCCTCTGCCTCTGCCTTGTATAATGCAACACAATTCATTCACTTCAATTTGTTCAACGCGACGTATGCGCGTTGCTCCATTATGTCTTAAGCGGCTTGCAAATGTTTTATGTGCACCTTTGATGCAAATGCCGGCAGAAGCTAATTACCTTTTGCTCGCGCTTCTCCATGGCATTTCTCTATTAAGTTTTATGGCTAATATTAAAGCAAGATGATTAACTTGATATTTAATTTTTGTCTCAGTCTCTCTCTCTTTCTCTCTCACTCTCTCTCTCTGGCTGCCGAACAAAAGCAAGGAATGAAAAAAAAAAAAACATTGCAGAAGATCATTTGATCACTCTATGTATGCTGCAGCCTATATTTACGTGAGGAAAACGAAGCTACAGCTCTCGCTGCAGCAGAGTGCGTTCCTATTGGTCGACATTGGCTCAACTTATGAGCGCGACTTGGGCTTTGAGTGCAAGTCACCCTATATAAAGGGCTGCAGCTGCAGCATTTGTTCAGTGGCCCAGGCCTGATGGAGGTCAGTCGTGCAGTGCAGTGAAGTGAGTGAACGAGAGTGATGAGAGGAAATTCTTGGAGTAAAGCGTTTGAGGAAATACTGAGATAAAAAATACTAATTCTAATAATAATAAATAATACTAATAATTATTTAGAGGAAATACTTAGAGAAAATACTTTTAAGAAATTATTGGAAAAAAACACTAAAGAAATTCTTAGAGGAAAGACTTGCAGATATACTAAAGAAAAATACATATAGGAAATACTTAGGGGAAATACTCAGATGAAACCCTTAGCGAAAAGACTTACAGGAAAGACAGAGAAAATACTAAGAGGAAATTCTTGGCGGAAAATTTTATAGGAAAGACTTAGCGAAAAGACTAAAAAAAAAATACTTGGAAGGAATACTTAGAAGAAAGACTAGGGAAAATATTTCGAGGAAATGTTTAGAGCAACGTAGAAGAAAAACTTAAAGGAAATATTTAGAAAAAATACGTAAATTAATAATAAAAAGTAATAATAAAAAAAAAAACGTAAATTAAAATTAAATTAAATATTTATTAAGAGTCTTCATGCCAAACATTTTATTTACAGCAGCTTTATATCTACAATTAATTTTATGTAAACATCAAACATCCAAAGTATTTAGGCACCCAAACTAAATTCATTTAAGCTATGCAACCTTCATTTACTTTTTAAACTAAACTTACAAACCTCATCCATTGATCTCTAACCACATCGCTTTAATTTCTATTGGAATCTTCGTTAAAGGTAAACTTTCATAGCACATCGAACCCATTCAACTGTGCCCCACTGTTTGCATACACACACACACACACACACACACACACACACATCTACATTTAACGAACAAGTTACGCAGCTAATTAAAAACGCTTTGTTTTGTCTAATTTATTTCTCTATTTTTCTTTTCACTAGCTTTTTGTTGAACATAGTTCAGATTTAGTTGTTGTTGTTGTTGTTATTGGTTTGATACCCCCGTCTTGTTCTTCTTTGACTCTGTCCTCTTCTGCTACACGTTGCCCAGTTTAACTGCTGCATTAGATTACGCACGTTTTGTTGTGTGTTTAGAGTAGAGTAGTCTAGAGCACCGTTCTAGTGCCACGCCTCCGCTTGCGCCAGCCCCCCCAGGTAAATATTTAAATTATTTATGTGCCATTTTGAGGTTCGCAAACAAAAACAACGAGTGGGCGGGCAGTCGACTACGCCTGCTGCTGCTGCTGTTGCTGCTGCTGCTGCTGCTGCTGCTGCTATAACTGTAGCCGTAGCCAAAAGGTGTGTTTGCTCATTTAACGGCATTTAATTGCATAATTTTTGGGGCTACGCTCAAATTAATTAGCCAAACTTCGTTTGGGGCGTTGTGTGGCGGCGTTTACTATTCACATTCAATTTGGCTAACGCCCGCAGCCGTCGAAACACAGCTTGAAGGTCGTAGACGAAACAAAAAAAAAAATGAGGACTAGGATCGACTGGAGAATACTCATTGAATATTCATATTCCAATTTATATTTATTTATATTATGCAAATCAATGGGGAAATTCCAGCATTAGTTAATTCAATAAAAGTTAATTTAATTTTGAGAAAAGCTGTTGAAAATATATGTATATATGTATAATTTTTCCCGATTCACCATGCCCCTAATGCTCGTATATATGTATGTATGTATGTGTATATATATTTATATTTATAGATATATTTATATTTATTTATTATATTTATCTATTTATTCATTTATTGAAACTCTGTTTCTGAGATACTAGAAAAGTGGATCTGAGTAAATCTAGCTTTGATAGAGACGGGAATGCTTAAAGGCACATTGACAGATGACATCACGAATATGAAACTAATATACTTCACTTCACTATCGTGCATGGGTATAAAGCAACAACAACCACATTTAACAGTTGAAACAACCAAGATTCGAGCCACGATGACTGAGAACTGAGGTAACTTCGAATCAAACACATTTTCACACTTGGCTACATTTAATTAAAGTTTCTCAATTGTCTGTGTGTGCGCTGTCTTCGTCTTCTTCTTCTTTACAGTTGCTTTTGCATGCGGGCTGCCAATTTGGTAAAGCATACAAGTCGAAGTGCTAGCAAGTTTTCTTGGCCTTCAACTGTGCCATAAATAAAATGCAATAAGCGCCACATCCAACTGCAGAAAAAAAAAAAAATAAAGGGAAAACCGCCTCGTCCCGCCCCCTTTTGACAAGACTCTTCTCACGCCGCCCAAGCAGCATGAAAAGCGTTTTCAATAAATTTTCTTATACCACAGGGCATGCAGCTGCATACAAGTGCTCATGTGTGTGTGTGGGTGTGTGCGGTGTGTGTGACTGTGTGCTTCACATTTCAATTCACAAATTCTCATTTTTTGCTTGCCTACTTTTAGGCGCCCATTGAATTGCATTGCCTTAATATGGGTTTTATATGCAAAAAAGCTAGTACATTACCAGCGTACGTATATATTTACATCTACACATGTACGCATGTGTATGTGAAGCACCTCGCACAAAAATACATTAAAAGCCTAATTTATTGGCTGACTGACATGCAAAGCAGCTATAAATAAGCCTTGATAACGTATCTCTGCCATTTCTTACATGGCATTTACCAAAGCGATTGAAGGAGGTGGCCGACTAGAAATGTATATTAACTAAATAATTAATTATTTACAAGAGATTTGTAAATAATAATCATATCATTTGAATTTTGAGCGTAATGAGTTTATTGTATTTTAAAGAGATTTCGAATTTATAGGCATATTTAAGTTTAAAATTAATGAGCACAAATCTATTGGAATGGAACGAAAAAAAACTCGATATAAATATTAAAATAAAAAAAAAATATAGTGCTAAACTTTTGCCTTCTACGATTTTACGCCTATAGCATTTAAGTAAATAAATATATATATTAATTATATACTAAATAAATATATATATTTTATTGCTGTATTAAAATAAATAAATAAATGTATTTAAATGTTAATAAATATTTTATATATCTGATTAATAATTCTATTCTGTAGAAATTATAATTTTACCTATGGTCAGCCAAATTTAAAAATTAAATCTTCACAGTTTATAGACATTTACAATTAAGAGAAGATTTCATAAATATTTAACGTTTTGCCAAAACTTCCGTTAGCATATAATACTGCACAATTCGGCACAATTAAATATTAATGTAAATATCTTTAGCCAAAGCAATATAACTCTTGCTTGGGCAACCTACATCTGTATGTATATATTTATAAGTAAAGCGAAATTTAAGTGAATTGAGTGAATGCATGAATGAATATTGAGTGGTGTAGACTAAACTTTGCTAAGAATGAATTGACCAAATGAGTGCACATACAAGCCAACTTGCATATCAACTACGAACAAGTATTTGCTGGAGAAGACTTAAGAGATTATTTCTCAAATTGACAGGGACCGCAAATAAGAGTTATGAATTTAAAAAAATTGAGGCCTTTAGGAAGC